ATTCCAGGACACCCACGGCTCACAGCTCCAGGGGATCACTGTGCACTCAGTGACTGGCCTCTACAACACCCTGGACTTTAAAAAAAAGAGGAAAAAAGAGAGAGAGAGAGAGAGAGAGAGAGAGAGAGAGAGAGAGAGAGAGAGAGAGAGAGAGAGAGAGAGCGAGAAGATAGATGGCTCTTCGTGGCACTTGCTGCCCGTTTCTCACAGGGAAGCACCTCAGATACAGCCGGGATTGCTGTTTTCCTTTTTAAGGGAAAAAAAAAAGACAAAAAAAAATGGAATAGCTCATGGTGCTGGAAGATACATTCCCCAAAGTGCTTTTCCGTTTGTGGCTGGCACTCCAATGCTGCACATTTCTCAAGAGGAGGTCTCTCATCTACAGCCCGAATTGTTGTTTTTTTCAGTTGTAAGGGTCTCGTTAGACACTCCTAAAAGTGCCTGTTTTTAGGATTGCGTCTTCGTTGCACGCAATCCTAAATCCAATTTCGAGATCCAAAATGTGAAAACGGCGTTAGGACGAGTCCTAAAGGATTTAGGATTCCCCAGGCAAAATCGTCCTAAATTTTCGAGTAGCCCCCGACCTACTGAAAAATTTAGGATTCCCGCGTTTCACGGAGTCGTTGCGTTGCGCGCATGGCACCGTCGCCATGGGGTTACTGGTCCAGGAGCGGTCCGTCGGGTGGGTGGTCGGACATCGGAGGTTTTCTGCGGGTCGATGCCGGCAACGGCCACCAACGGTTATCATCGGCTGACAGGGTGGAGGGGGGGGGGCCGTCCGTGGGTGGGCGGGCGTCCGTAGTGGACCGTTGGCTCGGTTGCGGGTGGCGGAGGAGGATGACGACGTGCGTGGGACAACATACGGAGGCGCGTCGGGCGGTGCGCGGGCGGCAACGGTCGATTTTTGAATCGCAGGCAGGCACCTTTGTCGTCTTCTCTGCTGGTTGTCGGCATAAGAATGTCGAGCGGCCCTATCCCCCGGCATGTCGGAACACTCTACTGCAGTAGTCGCGTGCGAGGGTGGCTCCGGACGTGAATTTGATGGCTGACGTGCAGAGGAGACTGCATCTTCTGGTACTCGCTGTCATCCTGTTCCTCATTGTCGTCTTCCTCCACGTGTGTTTGTCGTGGCGGCCGTGGAAACAACATCGCAAAAGGAGGGCGTCAACGAAACGGGCGGCAGGGGAACGTCCGATGGCGGGCATGCAGGCACACGCAGGTGTTGGTGCAGGTCAGGGCGGAAGACGACCTCCGACTCCGGAGCCTCCACGGCGGTACGACCCATCTTTGTACAGGCATCTAGACTCATGGGAGACGCCACTGCCCCCGTCGGACGAGGAGCCCGAGATGGAAGAACTTCCAACGTTGCCTCTTGCCAGCGGGTCGACGCAGCTGTTGTCGCAGACGGGGCAAGCAGGCGGGTCGGCCAGCAACGAAGGCGACGAGTTCACCTCACTGCTGCACCAAGGCTTGGGAGACGACGACGACGGAGGACTTGATCTCAGGTTCGGGTTGTGTTCTGGCCGCGCTAGGGAGGTGAGCCGTACGTTCATCATCGACGCCGATCCTTCGCCACGTGGCGTTCAACATACTGCAAGTCAGCATACGGAGCACTCCACACTTCGTGTCGGTGCGTCCGATACTGGCGGTGTCGGGCCATCGGCAGTAGCCCGGCAGCATGGATCGACTGTACCGTCCGCCGATCGATTGACAAGTACCTGTCCCTCACTCAACGGAGTCGCAGCTGGGTCCCTGCGCATCGGCGGTGCACGTCCTTCGATGCCCAACCGCACAATGCCGACCCAACCCGACCTCAGGGACGAGGGCGCGTGCATACCACCGGTGCGTCCAGGACCCACTGTGGAGAACATCACACGAGGAGTGTCAAACATGCGGACACACAGCGATGGCGGCGACGACGACGGTGGTGGTGGTGACGATGCCGACGAACGATTAAGGGAGGACGTGGAAGCAGGGGACGACGACGACGACATTCCTATTCGGCCTTTGGGGAAGACGAGTGGGAGGGGGAGAGGACGCAGCAGAGGTGCTGTTCATGGTCGATCCATTGGCCGTGGCGGCAGAGGTGGCGTCAGCGACGACGGCGAGAAGTTTGTGACGTACTGGTCTCCGGAAGAGCAAATGCGACTGGTGAGATGCAAGCGGGAGCAAGAGATGCACCTCTCCGGGCTGGGTCACAATTACGGGCGGATGCAGACCAAGGAGTGGAAGTGGGATGACATTGCAAAGCGCATGGCGAACGTGGGGAGGCCTAAAGACGCGGACGACTGCATGAAGAAGTGGGACAATATCTTCCAAAACTACAAGAAGATACAAAGGTTTCAAAATGCGAGCGGCAGACCATATTTCTTCGGACTATCGAATAAAGAAAGGAAGGAGCACAACTTCAAGCTCCGGATGGAGAGGGCGCTGTGCAACGAGATCCACGCAGGGATGGTGGGCAACCATACAATTTTTCCTCCGAACGTCGCCGACACCGGAAGTCCGGACGGGGTGCACCTGCCCAGGCGAGGAGCGGGTGGTGGGGAGTCTGTTGGTAGTGAGGCCGGTGGTGAAGGTTTCCCTGAAGAACGTTCTTCTGCGAGGGACTCCGACATCAACGCAGGCAGTGGGGCTGGAGGCGGGAAGCGGAAGAATGCGCGTCAACAGGCCTTGGAGTCGATCGCTGATGTCATGGACCGCCATGGCGAACTGATGTCGTCGACGATCGAATCGTGTAGCAAGCGGCAATGCAGCATATTCACGAGGCGATGCGACATACTCGAGCAGGAAGTTGCAGTCCAACTGCGAGGGGGGAGACGCGATGGGGTGGGCAGGGGTGAAGGTGCTTTGTCTTAGTTTTGCTCCCTGGCGAGTGCATTGACGCGCATGGCCAGGGACGTCGAAGGGTCTTTTCGGGCATTGGGGAGGATCGAAATGACACACCAGGGTAGGCGCGGCGGTCGCACGTGCCACCGTCGATGATGCCGTTTCCCTCCACAAAGAAGCGACGTGAAGGGCGGTCCATCTGCGAGAGAGTACTTCAGTCGTGAGCTTCCCAACCCACATGAATGTCGTCCTCACGAGGGTGTCTCCAATAAAGAACCCCGTCGCGCCTGCTGCACACCGACTGCAACGACGCGGGAGTGGTACAAGCCTGCTCGCCGCGGAGAAATGTTGCCTGCTCGCCGTGGATAAATGTCGACTGCTCCCCGCGGACATCATCAGTGCCGTGGAGGACCGCGACAAACGCCATTCTAGACATCTTCTAACGTGGACGATCTTCGCTGGCTCTTCTATTCTTCTCGCCGCCAATCTTTTCGCCGCGGAGCACTCTCGCCGGGGTGGTCGTCCTTCTATCCACCGCGTGTACGTCGTCGTCTTCTTCCCGCGAAGGACAGATCTTTTGCGTCGTACGGGTATTCATCCTCGTCATGCCGCAGCAGCACGGGAGACATTTTTCTTGCCACATCGGCGGGACTTCAAACGGCGGTCGAGGAAGCACTTTCCGCTCATCCGATCGGACCAGGGGGGGTTGGTCGGTGGCTGCGAGGGGGGAGACGCGATGGGGTGGCCAGGGGTGAAGGTGCTTTGTCTTAGTTTTGCTCCCTGGCGAGTGCATTGACGCGCCTAGCCAGGGATGTCGAAGGGTCTTTTCGCGCCTTGGGGAGGATCGAAATGACACACCAGGGTAGGCGGAGCGATCGCACGTGCCACCGTCGACGATGCCGTTTCCCGCCACAAAGAAGCGACGTGAAGGGGGGTCCATCTGCAAGAGAGTACTTCAGTCATGAGCTTCCCAACCCACATGAATGTCGTCCTCATGAGGGTGTTTCCAATAAAGAACCCCGTCGCGCCTGCTGCACACCGACTGCAACGACGTGGGAGTGGTACAAAGCCTGCTCACCGCGGAGGAATGTTGCCTGCTCGCCGCAGATAAATGTCGACTGCTCCCCGCGGACATCTTCAGTGCCGTGGAGGACCGCGACAGACGCCATTCTAGACATCTTCTGACGTGGACGATCTTCGCTGGGGTCGTCGTACTTCTTGCGTGCACGTGCACGCAACCGTCAATCGTTACTGGCCGCGGAGCACTGTCACCGTCGCTCTTCTATTCTTCTCGCCGCCAATCTTTTCGCCGTGGAGCACTCTCGCCGGGGTCGTCGTCCTTCTATCCACCGCGTGTACGTCGTCGTCTTCTTCTCGCGGAGGACAGATCTTCTGCGTCGTACGGGTATTCATCCTCGTCACGCTGCAGCAGCACGGGAGACATTTTTCTCACCACATCGGCGGGACTTCAAACGGCGGTCGACGAAGCACTTCCCGCTCATCCGATCGGACCGCCAAGCTCGCCTACAAAGGTCGTGACAAAGCATGTCTACGCGAGGGAGCGCCCGTGGGAAGAAGCGCGACGGAGTCCTTGACGACAGCCAAGGGCAGGGAAGAGGTCGGCGGCATGTCCCGAAGGCGAAGAGGGTGCGTTCGGATAATGCGTCCGCAAGGGTGGTTCCTTGTGGAGCGCAAGGCTGGGCGGCAGCGGCGGAAGGGGACTACGACGAAGAAGACTTCATGACGGAGGAAGAGCAGGCAGAGGCGACCATGTCTGCATCACAGGAGAGCAGTCAGCAGCGATCTTCTGATCAAAGCGCTCCGAAGAGGATGCTAACCCCTCCACCCGAGGCGCAACAACTGCGTGCCCACGAAAGGCGGACAAAGAAGGCTGCCATCGTCGATCTTGGCGGCGATGATGACGAGCCCTTGGAAAAACGTCGCCTGCGCACTCGTACAACAGCAACCCCACTGCTGGCAGTGGTGGCGCACGCTGCGGTAGACGAAAGGCCAGTCACGGGTAGACTACCCGCCACGCCGTCTCAGCCACGTCACCCGGGTGAAGACAGAAGGTCCGTCCAACGCGGCGGCGGGGGCGAAGTCGTGGCAGACGCGCGCGAAGTTGGGGGCGAGCCAACAGGTGCTGCGGGTGTGGGTGCTTCAGGCACTGTGGCCCCCGTTGCGACGGCGAGAGAGGAGGCAGCAGTTGTGGCGACTGCGAAAGAGGATGCGCATGGCGAGAAGAAAACCGATCGGGAGGGCGGCAAGCCAGGTTCAAGCCGGGTACGTAGGGGAGTGATGACGAAAGACCTCATCGATCGTTTCGTCCTTTGGGTTGATGACAAAGCTTTCTGGACGACGGGGGAGGGGCGAAGACTTTACAACATCGTCCACGAAACAAGAGAGTACTTTGTCGCCATCGCTAGCGGACTTCCACCGCCTGCCGTCCCTCGGAGCGTCATACTGCCCAAATCCACCACGAGGGTAGCCAGGATCGCCGACCAATCACAGCTGCAGCAAGCGATCTCCAGTGCGACGGCAGTGGAGAACATTGCTTTGTGCATCTTGCACGACTGGGTATTTAAGTCGGGGAACCGCCCAAGGGGATACAATGTGGCTTTCCAGTACTCGCGGAGTCCGTAGCGACGGACATTGCACGTGCTATGCGGTACGGCGAGGAGTGGTGCAACGTCGTCAGTCCAACGGTTTGCGCGCACACGATAGATCTATCCATGGACTTGCCACGGTGGTTCGCCGCGGCCAACATCGAGGACAGACCGGACGACGACGACATGGAGGCGCACCAGGAGTCCATTGTAATCTGCATCGCGCATGCGTTCTGCGCGGCGGTGCAAATGGGTGCGCTCATCGATGGTGATTTCATCTCGCACGATCGTCTTTGTCGGGTGGCTGATTGTTTCAGGTTGTTGTTGACGGCGTGCATGTGGATAATGCGCATGGCGGGAGACGATCCACGCAGCCACTACGAAGCTTTCTACTTCGCGAGCCTCGTGGCGAAGCCCACACTCGTCGCGGCCATGCATCGCTCCTTCGATCATCAACGATCCGTCGTCCGCGCCGCAAATGTCGTCACGGAAAGGCTCGGGAAGGCGAACGCCACGTTTGGAGAGTACCCTGACTACATCCCTCAATGGGCACCCTGCGACATTGGTTTCAGGCACGACACGAGCACAACGGGGCCGGAGGATGCGAAGAAGCTGGGTTGGTTGGGTTCGGGCCCCCCCGATGATGACAACAACGACGATGGAAAGGATGACGCGTAAGGGGGGGGGGGGGGGGGCTTTTGTGAACGCGGGCACGTGTACACGTGGCCGGTCATGATGGGCTTCACTGTGGTTGGACCGTTGTGAAGTGCGCACCTGTTTAGTGTGTCGGTCAGAGGGATTCGCCAGAATCGTCGTTGATTGCGTAGATGTTTAGCACGTCGGTTGTGGCACAACGACGGGTTGATTGATTTCAATCGTGTATTTTGCATTTAGTGCAGCTGTTTAGTGTGTCGGTCATCGGAGCCGACGACGAGTTCCTTGAATTCATTCCTTATTGTATTTTTTATCATCCCAGTTCGCTGCGGAAGAACTTCACAGCGCTTTTAGCGCACTCTTTTTTTCTGTCATGTATTCGCTGTTCTCGTCTCTTCGGTGGAATGATTTAAAGGTAATTGCCTCCTATGCATGCACACAATCCATGTTTACCTCTCTCTGTTTTTTTTTTCTTCGTTAACTGACGTTATACAACTTTCATCAATGATTTCAACAACCATGTTTGACGTCCCACCACACCACGACACAAAAAAATTCCTCACAAACGCATTGAATAGACAAAAAAAAAAAAAAAAAAAAAAAAAAAAAAAAAAAAAAAAAAAAAAAAAAAAAAAAAAAAACCAAAAAAGAAATAAATGAAGAGGCACACAAAATTTTAAAAAAATAACTTCCCACCACATGAAAGCATTCAAGATAAACGATTTGAAGACACACATAAAAAAAAAAAAAAAAACAACCAATTTTGAGAGAGACAAAAAAAAAAAAGTTCTTCCAATATTAAACATTTGCACAACTGTACGAACCACGCAACCGTCCACATGCTGAAAACAACAAAGGAACTCATCTGCGACAACCATGCCGCCATTCAATCGACCCAGCAACTACGCGCACGCGACCGTGGACATGGGCCACGACAAAATTCCACCCGCCTACCGATCGCACAACCCACGTCCTCCCACCTCCCCCCCAACCCTGACCCCCCCGCCCCCTCCCGTCCGCACGGTCCTACATCAAAGCTAGGCGGTCTCGAAGTGCATCCCGCAACAAGTCCCCGTCCACGTTCGTGCTCCACCGCCGCCCGCTCGCGCCGTTCCCCACAATTCCCAAGTCTACTCTGCGCCGAACGCCATTCTCATCCACCTCCCACAAAAGGCTCTCATCGAAGTCGATGCCCTAGTCGAGGAGGATGTTGTGGAAAGTGCACACCACCACGAATTGTTGTGGCAAGGTCTCCTCGTTCGTCTTGTGGGTGCGCAAGAACAGAGGCCACATGCACTTCAGTCGCCCGAATGCCCTCTCGACACACCCCCGCGCCACCTTCTGCCGCGTGTCGAAGCTTTCCTCGTCAGGACCTTGGTCGATTCCTCCGTACGGCTCCACGATCCATAGACAGGCAACTGGATAACCGTTGTCGCCTTGCAGGTAACCTTGCGTGACGACACCGTGCGGAAGATTCTCCAGAGGTGCGTCGAACAGCTCGCCATTTTTTGCACGCCTCCATAGCTGGGAATTGTACAGGACACAGACGCCGTGCACACTTCTCGGGTATCCGATGTGGACGTCGAGGATCTGCAGATCCAAATCCACCACCACCTGCGCCTACACGGAGAACTTCTGTTTGCGGTTGTAGTAGTTGTCCGAAGGTGCGCCGGCGGGCTTGTCAATGCAGATGTGTGTACAGTCGATTGCGCCGAAGCAGTTCGGGAAACCCTTGTCACGGAAAGCGCGCAGAATTTGCGCACGTCTACGGCCCACTGGCCACTTTATCGCGTCGGGGTACGCCTGCAGCAGAGCAATCCGACACTTCGGCAACGCTCTGCAACAACGCTCTTCGTTTGCGGAGCTGCATCACCATGTCGGGTGAGGACGACGACATGTCGCTCATCGTGTTGACGACGACGACAGTCACCGCCATCACCACCGCGTTGATCTCTTCTTCGCGTAGACCGTGCCCGCAGCCTTGAACGTCCATATCTGACAATCGTTCCGCGTCTACAGTGTGACGCCTGCCACAGCCGCGGAAGACACGTTGTCCACGCTGCTGCAGGCGTACCTCGACGCGATAAAGTGGCCAGTGGGCCGTAGACGTGCGCAGATTCTGCGCACTTTCCGTAAGAAGGGTTTCCGAAACCGCTTCGGCGCAATCAGCTATACACACATCTACATTGACAAGCCCGTCGGCGCACCTTTGGCCAACTACTACGATCGAAAACAGAAGTTCTCCATGCGGGCGTAAGTGGTGGTGATTTGGACCACGTCGGATACCCGAGAAGTGTGCACGACGTCCGTGTCTTGCACAATTCCCAGCTGTGGAGGCGTGCAAAAACTGGCGAGTCGTTCGACGCACCTCCGGAGAATCTGCCGCACGGTGTCGTCACACGAGGTTACCTGCTGGGCGACAACAGTTATCCAGTTGCCTGTCCATGGATCGTGCAACCGTGTGGAGGAATCGACCAAGGTCCTTACGAGAAGCGCTTTGACACGCGGCAGAAGGTGGCGCACGGATGTGTGGAGAGGGCATTCGGGCGACTGAAGTGCATGTGGCGTCTGTTCTTGCGCACCCACAAGATGAACCTGGAGACCTTGCCACAACAATTCGTGGCCGTGTGCACTCTCCACAATATCCTCCTCGACGAGGGGATCGACTTCGACGAAAACCTTTTGTGGGAGGTGGATGCGAACAGCGTTCGGCGTAGAGTGGACTTGGGCATTGTGGGGAACGGCGCGGGCAGGCGGCGACGGAGCACGAACGTCGACGGGGACTTGTTGCGGGATGCACTTCGAAACCGCCTAGCTTTGATGTAGGATCCTGCGGACGGGAGGGAGGGGAGGCAGGCGAGGTGGGAGGACATGGGTTGGTGCGATCGGTAGGCGGGTGGAATTGTCACGTGGTCCCTGTCCATGGTCGTAGTGCGCGAAGTTGCATCCACGATTGAATGGCGGCATGGTTGTCATCGATGAGTTCCTCTGTTGTTTTCATCGTTTGGACGGTTGCGTGGTTCGTACAGTTGTGCGAACGTTCAATATTGGAAGAACCTTTTTTTTCT